GCTCCGGGGGGCCCAGGCTGGCAGCTCTCCGCCCCTAGCCGGCCACTTTCCTGTGCCTAGTGCGGAGATCGTGGACGATCGTGGGCAAGCTCCCGGGAGCCGCCAGCCTGGTCCCGGGAAGAGGGGGAGAGCTGGGGGGCATCTGGTAGGTGGCTCGATCCGTGCCAGGTGCAGGGTCTGCTAGCTGGGTGCTGGCAGGCTTGCACCTGGCACGGGCACCGTAGCCAGCCCGTGCCCCTTTAAGGTGTCCGGGGCCGGGAGGGGGGCAGAAGAGTTTCCCTGGTGTTGGCCAGAGTGGCCACCAGGGAAAGCTGGGGAGGGCTAGCCTCCCACTAGTTCGAATTAAGGGGCTACACACCCCTTAATTCGAACTAGCTAGTTCGAACTAGGCTTAATCCTCGTGGAATGAGGATTACCTAGTTCGAACTAAGCGCTCCGTTAGTTCGAATTAAATTCGAACTAATGGAGTGCTAGTGTAGCGCCTATGAAAGTTAGTTCGAACTAACTTTGTAGTGTAGACATACCCTAAGATGCCACAGGACTACTCATTTTCTTTAAATCGACAGACTAACACAGGGACTCTTCTGAGATTGTGTTTCCATTATATTAATTCAAATTTTAAAATGCATTTGCATGGGTTATATTTGTTCTCCTTGTGTATTTGCTTTTGCTTTTACTTTTACTGGCACAAATGTTTACAATAAGTGTATTTCCACCTATATTGTGAATTCATCTGTTGCAAGTATTTGTAGCAGACACATTTGTGTGTTTATCCAGACCACGTAACAGAAACAGTACAATGCTTTGTGTCTGTGCAGTATCTAGCACAAGGAGTCCTGTCTATATCTTTGTCTACATGGGGACTTTTACTGGCATTACTACACCAGTTAAATTAAATCACAGCTGTTAAATCAAAATAACGCCTTATGTGGATACACTTATTTGAAATAACAGTGGTTGTTGGGGAGGGGGGGTCGGTTAAATTATATCCCACAAAGAGGCCACTGTTACAGAGTGTAAAAGTCCATGAGGAGAGCTATACTAATCTGACTATAATACTATGACTACCAGTAAAATAATGCTGGTAAATTTCCACATATCTTCGGATTCCTAGATAATCCCACAATACACAAAACACTGTGTGGCTTATTTGACCACAGCTAAGCAACATGGTTTCGATTTGAAATGGTTCCTATACTTGTGACTATTTAACTGAGTGAGATATGTTCATGGAGTTTGCAAAAATATTCATCATCAATGAATTAATTCAACAAACTTGTGAATTACTTAGGGATATTCTATCAGCAGACAATCAATCAATCAATCAATCAATCAATCTCTCTCTCTCTCTCACACACACACACACACACACACACACACACACACACACACACTTCAAATTATGAGCTCAGCTCCATTGAACATGTTTTATTTGGAAGAAATATTCCAAAACACTGATGGAGGATCCTGGGTACAGCATTACACTGGAGTTCAAAACAAACACAAAACTCAGTGGAATGACACTCTTCAGTGCGGCTACTGAAAGGTGCCCCTGGAGAGTCAAGTACAGAATTTTACAGGTTGCTGAGAAACTCAGGAAATCCCATTTTACAGGTTTAGCAGTTCTCCAAGACGTCCTCTATCTGGCCCTCTTAGTAAGTGAGTCAAGAGCATTGTTTTTGTTTGTTTTTTTCTTTTAATTCATATGCCTGGCAGGACTTTTTGCAGTGGGACTACTTGTGGGAGTGACTGCATGCCAACGTAAGTTCACAAGCTATATCTATATTTCCTAGATATGCATAGGTTTATGACAACAACTCTCAGTATACTAATGAAAAAGAAACAAAATCATGGCTAAGACACTTGCAGAAGGTTATACAGTATAAGTACATGACTGATTCCTTATTTTACATCTAATGAAAATATTGTAGCAACCATAGTTTTAAAAGCCTTTGACTTAAATATTTACAATGCTTTTTACATTTAATTTGTATTTGAAAATTTGCAACAGCTGCTTATTAAGATATATTAAAGAAAATGTTAATACCAGAAGATGAGTCTACAATGGATTCTCAGAAGGCTGAAACTTAAAAAATAATTTAAAAATATCTTTCAACGTGTCTAAGTATTTTAAGGTTGTTTTACCCGAACTCTTCTTTCCTCCTTGTTTCCTTTCTAATCCCCTTCATGTTTTTTTAATTTCTTTAATCTCTGATGCCATCTTCTTTTACTAAGTAACTTCATCTGCCTGTTTTTCCTCTTCCCACTTTTATAACATTTTTCTTGATTACTCTCCCTTTCTGCTCACATTTTACCTTCTCACTTTTATTCCCCTTCTTAATTACTTATATTTCCCTCAATGTCATAGAATCAAAGCACTTCACAATCTTTAATGTATTAATGTATTTTCCTCACAATACCCATTTATGGTCAGGGTTTGAGGGAGAAGCATTATTTCCCACATCTTACAGATGAGGAACTGCATCTCTGAGAAGCTAAGTGACCGGCTGATATTAGTTATGCCTGCAAGGCACTCTTCTGTCAGCATATTTACATCTACACCAGAAAATTTTGCCAGCATAGTTACTTCAGCTAGGGAGTGTGACTTTTTGACATTCCTTGTTGATGTAGCTTTGTTTCTAACGTAGACCAAGCTCTGTTCTGCTCCTCGGACTCTGTTCACATTCTTCATACCATCTCTCATTCAGCCTTACAGTTTATTTTCTATTTCCCTAGGACCTTTGCTTTTTTTGAGCATGCTTAATATTTCTTCACATATGCTAGAACTACTATTAAGCTTGTGTGTATTAAAGTTTTTTAACCTGAAATTACTGTCTTCCTGATTAATTTGAAGTAGTTATGCTTAGTCATAGGGTAAGCCACAAATCTGTATCCTGGTACAAATATTCAAGGAGTTTCCAAACTTAGACTTTGCAATCATATTATCAAATACGTTAATTATTTGTCAATCAGTTGTCTTGAAATAAGTCCAGGCGTACCCAATGTTTACAACATGAACCAAAGAACTGGCAAGAAGGGGATCAAATATGAGAGAAAAGCACTGTTGCTATAGTGAATTAATACCACAGTTGGCCCTAAATTCAAAGGCATTTTACTATGGTGTCGACTTTGGAGAGCACGTCGGTAAATATTTAAAAAAATAGAACAATCCAGGATGGTTAATATGATTAAACATTAGATTCTCTTACCTGCTGAAGTTGGCTCCTCTTCATCAGATTCTGAGCCCAAAAAAGAAAAAGAAAGAAAAGAAGGTATAAATAATTGAAGAAACCCAAACAATGCTAATTAATAGACATTTGATTACATTTAAATATACCTAGTAAAATCTAAAACTGGCAATACAATGACATGACGTATGTGGGGTTTTAAATATAAAGTCTAAATCTACTGAATTATCGGATTGATTAGAAAAATGATCTAAATCCACTATGAATTTAACGTGTGTGTGTTTTTACTGTCTTGTATCTATAATCTCCCCACCCCCGTTTTCCCCATCTTTCATATACATCTTCTATGTAAAAGCTACAGGATAAAAACTCATATTTTTCAGGTGGAAGACATCAGTCACACATTTCTGAGACTGTATTAATGAAAGGGAATAGTGTTTAACAGCAGTGTTAAAAAGAAATGTGTTGCTGCTCTGACCTAAAGACAGGAAAAGGATAGGATTTTTTCAAAAGAATCTTCTACATTGGCCTAACTCTGCTCCCACTGCCATTACTGGAAAGTCCATCTGTATTTTATAAGCATACACATAATAAAAAATGTTTCCCCCTACATCCCTGAAAAGTGTTTATCAAAAGGAACCAGCCAAGCAACAAATGATTAACTCATACACTCTTCTTATCCAAAGAAATCCATGGACAGTCACCAGTATGGAAGCACAGAGAACTCTAAGATGATTCTAAGAGAACTCTAAGATGATTGGAAAAAGGCAAATGCAGTGCCCATCTTTTAAAAAGGGAAGAACAATAATCCAGGGAACTACAGTCCCTGGAAAAATCATGGAGGGGATCCTCATACAATCCATTTTGAAGCACTTGGAAGAGGGGAAAGTGATCAGGAATAGTCAACCTGGATTCATCAAGGGCAAGTCATGCCTGACCAATCCAATTAGCTTCTATGATGAGATAACTAGCTCTGTGGCTATGGGGAAGTCAGTGGATGACTTTAACAAAGCTTTTGATAGGGTCTCCCACAATATTCTTGCCAGCAAGTTAAGGAAGTATGGATTGGATAAATGGACTGTAAGGTGGATAGAAAGCTGGCTAGATTATTGGGACCAAAGGGTAGTGATCAATGGCTCTACATCACGTTGGTGATCAGATTCTAGTGGAGTGTCACAAGGATCTGTTCTAGGGCTGGTTTTGTTCAACATCTTTATTAATGACCTGGATGAGGGGATGGATTGCACCCTCAGCAACTTTGGGGGAGGGGTAGATACATTGGAAGGCAGGGATAGGGTCCAGAGTGACCTAGACAGATTAGAGGATTGGGCCAAAAGAAATCTGATGAGGTTCAACAAGGACAAGTGCAGAGTCCAAGCATTGTTACAGGCTGGGGACCAACTGGTTAAGTAGCAGTTCAGCAGAAAAGGACCTGGGGATTGTAGTGGATGAGAAGCTGGATGAAAGTCAACAGTGTACCTTTGTAGCCAAGATGGTGAATGGAATATTAGGTTGCATTAGGAGGACCGTTGCAAGTAGATCTAGAGAAGTGATTATTCCCCTTTATTCGGCACTGGTGAGGCCGCATCTGGAGTACTGCGTCCAGTTCTGGGCCCCCCACTACAGAAAAGATGTGGATTCACTGGAGAGGGTCCAGCGGAGGGCAACCAAATGATTAGAGGGCTGGAGCACATGCCCTATGAGGTGAGGCTGAGGGATGTGGGCTTATTTAGTCTGAAGAAGAGAAAAGTGAGGGGGGATTTGATAGCCGCCTTCAAGTTCCTGAAGTGAGGTTCCCAAGAAGATGGAGAGAGGTTGTTCTGTTTCTGAAGTGAGGTTCCCAAGAAGATGGAGAGAGGTTGTTCTCAGTAGTGACGGATAGCAGAACAAGAAGCAATAGTCTCAAATTACAGTGGGGGAGGTCTAAGTTGGATATTAGGAAAAACTATTTCATGAGGAGGGTGGTGAAGTACTGGAATGGGTTACCTAGGGAGGTGGTGGAATCCCCATCCCTAGAGGTTTTTAAAGTCTTGACTTGACAAATCTCTAGCTAGGTTGATGTAGTTGGGATTGGTCCAGCTTTGGGCAGGGGCTGTACTCGATGATCTCCTGAGGTCTCGTCCAGCCCTATGATTGTATGATTCCATGAGTCAAGGTCTTCTTTCTGGATTGACAAAGGAGGGTCCCAATCCTTTGGGAAGAGTTGAAATCACAGACACCAATCTGAGTCTTTCTAGATATTGGGAGAGGGAAGTGATCTCTGATTATATTATTGCCATGAATGTAGGCTCTTTATTGTCTTAATATGTTTTCTCTGCAATGCTTGTGCTCTCTATGTAAGTGAGTTAATTTGTAAGAGCTGTATGGTAAATAAACTGTAGGCAGTTGTATCTGAAGAGGAAGGCAAAGCAGGCTTGCTTAGGCAGTCTGAGTTGCTGGGGAATTCACAATGTAAGCAGGGATCTGTGAAGCCTAGAAAAACTCTGGCCAGGTGAGAGAGACACCTGTCTTTTCACAGTTGATAGCTAAGGGCTCATCTAGACTACAGGGAATGGTCGAAAGAAGATATACAAATGCCGCAGGAGCTTTCGAAAGTGAAAATAATGAAGACACAGCTTTTTCGGCGAACCTCTCCCCTTGTCTAAAAGCCACATAAGCCACCTTTTTTGAAGAAGAGAGGGTTTTCGACGAAGGGGATGGTTCGCCGAAAAAGCCGTATTTTAATTACTTTCACTTCGAGAGGGTTTTCGACGAAGGGGATGGGGCTTCCGAAAAAGCCGTATTTTAATTACTTTCACTTTCGAAAGCTCTGCTTTCAAAAGTGCAATTGGAAGAAGAGATGTAAATTTCTGCAGAATTTGCATATCTTCTTTCGATCATTTCCTGTCGTTTAGATGAGCCCTAAGAAGTCAGAATATTAACATGGAGGAAGAATGTCACGGTTCGGAGCAACTGCACAGTCAGAAGATTAACATGGAGGAAGAATGTCACGGTTCGGAGCAACTGCACCTGTAGCGATAACTAAGACTGTACCTGTCATTTCTAGAGGATGATTATTATAACCCCTTGACAAGCCAGAAGAACTTAGTGCATATAATCAGAAGGCAAAATATTTAGAAAGAAAATCTTTGCCAAAATCATATTAACCAATAAAGAAGGTATTGCATATAATTAACTCATTTCCCCCTTTGCAGTCCAAACAGCACTCCATGATATTCCAGAGCAGAAATATGCACAGTTAGAATCACTTTCATGAAAAAGGCAAAGATCTAATTTTAGCTGTCATTACTGTATTTCTAAATCCTGGGCATGACTGAACTAGAAATATGTATTAAAATTAAATATGAATAAATACAATATGAAAATCCACAGCCTTATGCACACAGTGATTTCTTTATCAAATGAGACACACAGCTTAAATTATCCTGCTGTCCATGACAGGATTTCTTTTATCACCAATAGTTTGAAGGGCCATGTGTGGAAAACAAACTGCTTTTAATATAACCATTGGACTCCTTCCTTTTTTTTGGGTTAAATCTCAGGATTCCACCATTATGGAGAGAGATACTTTCAGAAGTCCAAGCAAAGTCAGTCTGAGCTTTGAGGCAAAGTAAATCTGAAGTCTCTCAAGGGAGCAGGTTCTCTAGTGGCTTACATTAGCTTGTATTGAAGAAAGAGATTATCAGAGTTTTAATACTAAATCTAGATGCTTTTAACACTTTTTATTAGTACTTTGTAAGACAGGCTAATTCGTGCATGATTTAGAAGGACTGGTAATATTAATAATTAACTATCTATAGGATACTGTTTCATAGTAAAAAGCCTAAATATTTACAATTACACAAAATACATCAAACCAGCTGTCAACATCCCATAGTATGCAGCAGTTCCGGATTCAACATAAATTTCAAATTAAAAATGAGTTTCCCCTGATTTAATGCTGACAAGTGTTTCTGAATAACAGTAGCCATACAATTATTAAAATCATATCGGAAAATGAAAAAAAACCATAATGCAACTCTTTCAAGAAGCTTAACTTCAAATTGCTGTTTAGCTATTCTATGTTCATTGCAATGCCTAAAATAAAAATCAATAGGATAATTGCCTTTTGGCATATTACAGTTGTTAATGGACACAGGAAGATTGCCTTTGTTGATGTTACTAGATCTGTCAACAGCACTCAATATACAATTGACCCTCAAGTTTTATTGCCTTGGACATTGTGTTCACTGGTATGATCGCACATTTTTCCTTCTTTCTTAAGAACTCTTATATGAGGGAGTGGAGGGTTGAGAAAAATACCACATAGAACAATTTTTTCACTCCCCCTATTCAATGTGCACACAATTAAATTGAGTTATATTGTTGAAGTGAGTAATGAGGCCATCAGTATGGTCATACCCTGGCTCTGCTCTGCAGTGAACTGATAAGTGAACCTAGATAAGATAGCAATGACAGAAATTATGCCAGATGTTCAGGGACACTTGAATCTTCTGTTGGGAATGCAGAATCATTCTGCTTCAATATGGTATATAGTGTCAGGGTAACAGTGGCTCCTTCAATGTTCATGAATTTTCAAGCAGTAGCATTGCCCTTTTGTAGCCACAGCTGTCCAACTTCTGGCAATTTCCTGTCCCCCAGCCTTACAGAACTTGTGGCAAGATGTTCCACAGGCTGGTGCATTCAAGAGAAAACAAGTTCTCTCTCTTTCCCCTCCCCTTTTCAATTATATTTCAAAATACAAATGACTACTAAAAGGCTAACCTCAATTTTCAGGAATTAAAGATCAGCAAATCTTCATTATCTTTTTTAAAATATCGCAATATGTAGGAAGTTTCCACATTATAAGTTCCTGTTTGATTTCTTCTTTTGAATGTCTTGGGCATCAACATTATTATTATATCTATTATTTGCTTTAAAAAAAATAATATAAGAAATACCAAGGGGAACTGTAAATTTTGAATCTTGAAGTGAAGACCAAATGTTTAAGAGAGATGCTATAGTACAACCACACATTCCTAGCCTTACAGGGTTCATATACATTGGGGGGT